ACCCATGTTTTCATTTGTGGCCATCCACAATTTTTTATTTGGTTTGAATTTCACTCACAACCCTGGCCAGAAAGGATAGGAGGTCCCACCCATGTTTTCATTTGTGGCAATCTACAATTTTTTTTCCATTACAAAATTAAAATTTCTTTTTTATTTTATTTTGTTGTTTATTAAGAATAGTTAATTATGCGTTAGATAATTATGCGTTTAATTAATTTAATAATAAATACAAAAATCACGCGTGTTCGTTAGCCAGCCAACGGTTAATATTATTATTATTATTATTTTTTTATTTCTTTTTTTCAATTACTTTTTTTCTTTACTTCTCTAATTTGTCATTTTTCTATCACATGTCAAGCTGCATTTGCTCTTATTATTAAACGACGTACGTACAACTTTGGTTAAGAAAAATATATAACTCTAACTTAAGGGAGTATTCTGGTCTAGAAATTGGATAAAATCGATTTTTCTTTTTTCATATTTTCAAAGCTTCATCTTTTAGGAATATGTCTTTAAAAGGATTTTTCAAAATTCAAATTATTTTTGGAGATATAGCTGGTTTAGTGACACGGTGTCCTATATCCTGCCCTTGTTATGTGAAACTTTAAACGAGTTTTTCTCGAAACTGGTTTTTTTTTCTCATGGTTGCCATGATTTCTCAAGTTCTACTTAACCGATTTACTTGAAATTTTGTGAGAGTCTTCTTTATACATTTCTCTATCGTACTAACTAAACTCTTACAACAATTTTCAATTTTTACTATTTTTAAAAAATTCGAAAAAGTAATAAAAGTTGTAAACAAAATGTATCCTTTTTTTCAGACAACCGTAATTTAACGAAAAACAATTTTTTTTTTTCAACATTTTCTTAGTTAATACGATAACGGCATTATTCTTAATTAATAATCCGTTTTAATTTTATATTTCAGATTACTAGAAGAGATACAATCGTGACAACCGTCGCGTGCCATTTTTTTGGGACCCCTCCACTTCATCAGCCTATACCTTTTTCAATTTTGAACTTTTTCATTACTTTTTTTTGTGTTCATCTATTCTTAAAATATTAATAAATATCTTATTATATAATAGTAAAAATATTATTCGTCTTTTTGTTATTGTACTTGAAAAAGTACTTAAAATTCATGCCTCTAGACCAGAATACACCCTTAAATGAACGATGACCTTCTTCTTCACTTTGTGAGATGCGCTATTCGCTTCTCTTCAAATAGGATATCAGAAAATAAAAGATTTGTCTCTTAAGCATAATATAAACTGTCACAATATATAGTACATACATTCAGTCTAAAGGCAATTATCATTGTTTCATGCTTGTCCTAATGTTTTTCCTCCATTTTTCTTTTTTTTTTTTTTAATCATCATTCACAAGAAATGCACGTATTATATAGAATTTTTTTTATCAATGTAACATATATCGATCATTCGTTTCTTTCCTCTTACATAATCAACATTTGTTAAGAAGACATATATATATATATATGTATGTAAAATATCAAAATCCTAAAAGATGAAATTCGATACGATGATATTCGTACAATCGATTTTTTTCTATTTTTTTTTTTTTTGCTCATTCTTCTCTTTATTCTGTAAATTTAACACTTTGACTGCCATGTTGATCATTTATGACCGGCCAAGGTTTCTCCAAAGACACCACAATGGTGTCATTGGTGACCAAAACGTATGAACCTTTTTACAATTGTAAACAATTAAATGAAAATTGAAAATTACTGTATTTAATTATGACTAATATACATGAAGGATACTTTGAAATAAAAAGTGTTCCGTTAAACAATTACAATTTTTTTACAATTATTATTATTATTATTTTGCCATAATATTTTTGGAATAATAATAAAAATGGCGTCCTAGACAAAATATTTGATTTTACGGCAGTCAAAGGATTAAGATTAAGTAATTAATCTCTTCAGTACTAATCACATTAATTTCAATTAACAGCAACCGAATGAATACAGTAAATTCATAGTTGACTTTATACAGTCAATAGTATAAATATAAAATTAACAAAAAAAAAAAAAAAGAAAAAGGAACCGAGTTTTTACATACTTTTTTGTTTTTATTATATATTTCAATATAAAATGCATATCGTTATAGAAATTTTAATAAAAAAAAAAAAAAAAANAAAAATAAAAAACAAAAAAAAAACAAACAAACTTTGGTCTTTCGTTTAATTCAAACGTCATATTATTTACTTTTTTTTTTTTTTTTTACATCATCAATAAAAATACGTAAACGTACCAAAGAGATTAATTAACGCAGTTTTTGAAAATTTTTCAACAACAGGTTAGAATTTGATAATTCATATTTTGCAAGATTTACTGTATAAAATATGATTTTCGTGTAAATCTAATTTGGCAATTAGAAAAATATATATATATATATATATATATAGGTCGTTAAAGTTTTTTTTTCTCTAGTACGATCTAAATCGTATGTAATATTGTTTTTACAGCATACAACATATGATTTACAGCAAATTTCAAAAAAAAAAAAAAAAAAAAAAAAAATCTTAAAATTTAATTTAGACCTTCCTTTGACTACGTAGTACGTATTGTAACTCTGTGAGTGTATGTATTAATATTATAATTACATTACTAAATTACAAGTAATTATTAAAACATAATGATGAAAATTTTGTCTTTTTTTTTTCTAACCCTAGTAACAAAATGAAAAATATTGAATATACAGGTGTATTTAATATTAAAAAGAGATTAATTGTCTTTTAGTAGCACAAAATATTGAAAAATATTGAATACATGTATATTTAATATTAACAAGACATTTAATTTCTTTTTAATATTAAATAAACATGTATATTCAATATTTTTCTATATTTTGTCCTACTAGGGCCTTTTTTTTATTTTTGGATACAACAACACCTACGTACTGCGTAACAAAAGATTGAGATCAACTCTTTTTTCGCATTCTCTCTCTCTCTCTCTCTCTCTCTCTCTCTCTCTTGCTTTATATATATCAAGTGGTCCAATAATTATAAAATAAAAAATAATATAAATATGTAAGATGGTAAATAACCATCACTAATACTTATTGGACCAATCGATATATATATACACATATATACTATATACTATATATATATATATAAATATATGATATACATCTAATTCTATTGTAGTGTGAATATATACGAATGAATATTACAATGATGAATGCTAAGGCACTTGTATTATTAATAAAAAAAAAAAATGAAACATCGTGTATACAGAAATTTGATAGCGCATTAATGAAAATGAGAAGATAAAATATTGTTAACATCGCATTGTCTTTTTAATAAATTGCATTGTCAAAAATTGTAATACATAGATAGTCCTCGAGATTAATATGCATGAATGAATGTAAGTTGAATATTTGATGAGATTAACATTTTGAAATAAAAAGGTATGTATAAATCTTTTATATATGCATTATGTACTGTATTATTATTAAATAAACATTCATAAAAGAATAATATTGTGCAATTAGAGATCCAAATCATTGCTGAAGGACTGTCTATACATTTGTCTAATTATTTAATCTTACATGATATTTATCAGCATGATTTTTTTTCAATTGTAAATGTATTTATACATATATTGTTGTTCAACAATTATGTAAATTTCAACAAGTAATATATATATATAAAATTTATCAATTATTTTTTAATAACTTTTTGCTAATTTGATGAAAGTTTAATGAGAAATGATAATATTTAGTTTACTTCCATATTCTTCCATATTCTTCCATATTATGTTATATATATATATATATATATTTTATACAGAAAAATTTTAAATGTTTCTTTTGAATTTAATAATTGACTCAAAGAGTCAACAATTTTTGGTAGATACAACAATATTTTATATTACAAATATTAATAATAACGATTGTTTAAAAATGTTATTTCTTAATATTAGATATACAGTATGAATTACATATACAGTAAAAAAGAATTACATATACAGTATGTTAATATAGTTATATATATATATTATACAGTATGTTAATATAATTATATATATTATGCAGTATGTTAATATAGTTATATATATATTTACTGTATATATGTACTGTATAACTATATAACTATATTAACATACTGTATAATATATGTATATATA